AAGGACCAAGCCAGTAATTCATCTAGTGCTGGAGCCCAGACCCGAAAAGGTACAGATGGACTCAGCATGGTACTGCTCCATACCTCTGCCACTTGATGCAATTTTCCTCACCAAACCCGGCTCAGGGCCGCTGCACAGTACCTTCCGGGATCAAACTGCCCCCAGCCAGCTAAGCAAAGAGATGCTTAAGATGTTCAGGCTCCTTTTTATTATCAGCTATCCACACCAAAGCAAACACCCTAGACCTTAGTTCTAGTGGCAGGTCCAAGATGGACATGGGAATCCCAGAAAAGACTCAGATCCTTTGAAATTGAGGACTGTAAGCAGCAGAAAGTACCAAAGGCACCCAGGCTCAATCAGCTGGAACATTCTCTTACTCCTTTGGACCCTTCTGCTCATTCTCCTGTCCTGCCATCTCATCGAGATCATTCACACAAAGGCATTTATGAGAAAGAGGAGGAGCTGACCATCCTGTACCCAGCGTAAGTCTGGGAGCTCCATGGAGATTAAGTGCTAGTAAAGGAGCAGTTCTGACAATCTTGACAAAGTAGATGTAGTTTCTGTAAGGCTTAATGCCCAGGAGTCAAACTCCACCTCCTTAGAAAAGCTGTCTGCCTTTTGTGCCAAAAGTCCTTTGATATTTTCAGAGAAGCACTTTGGACGAAGCAGCAAGCAAATAATTTTGCCCAAAGCACTGAGAACCACATTGTACATCCAGGCTGGAAACCTTCCGAACATTGACAGCAACTTTCATTTTCTAGAAGTAACTCTTCTGCCTTAGTGCCCCAGCAGAAGAAGGGAACAAAAGCAAAGCACTGTGAAGATGGAACAGAGAGGAAAGAAAATTCATTTTCTCCAGCATCCATCACCAGTGACAGGTTGTGATATCCATCAGAGACCTAAAACGTGAAGCTCCCATTTTATATTGTGCATTATTGTAATGACTCAGGCACAAGCCTTTCAAAGCTGGGACAAACAGAGCACATGAAGAGTCTCATCTTCCTTAACATGGGAGGGAGAGGAGACTAATATAGGGAAGGAACAAACACACGCAGTGTCTGCAGTCGGGGGGAGGCTTGGCAACTCTTCTAACGGCAGGATGAGCATGTATGCTGGGCTGCAATAAAAATACCCAGCATAAACTAACTGATCAATATCACCCCATCAGACAGGGACAGAGCCTGACAACTTACCGAGTTGCTTTATCTTTTGCTGTGTAATTTCATCAGCTTTACAACAGCTTCACTGCTTACCTTCCCAGCAGACTTGTCTCTCGTTTCAGGATATGAAAGCACAAGAGCAATGTTCATACTCAGGAAATTAAAACTACCCAGTATCTGTTTTAATCATCAGGATATTCTATTACAGAAGCAAGTATAAACTGCCTTTTTCTTCTTTTTAATTTCCCTCTCCCCCCCATTCAAAGAGGGAGGCAAGCATTCAGGAAACAACCTTACCTATCATTCAGAATTACTCAGCCTGAGATTTTAAATCATACGTGAGCCGTATTCATCATCAAAACTTTTAAATTTCATGTTGCCACTTGGGAAGATAGGTTGGCAAAACAAATCGGCAAATACTGGCAAAACAAAAAGTCTGTGAATAACTAGAACATTCTCAATCCTCTATATTCAGCGTTTGCACAAGAACAGGCATGGCAGCAGTAATCTAAGATACATTAGTTTTTTATAATAAAGCACCCATCAGAGCTGTTCAGTTTCATTACAAACAGCTGGCTACATAATTGTTTAATTTCTGATATTACAAAACAATTGGTTGATACAGTTTCAGTGACCTAGTAACACGGTGCTAAACATGCCCTACTCCCTGTATTTTAGTATCATTATCATCCACCTGTGCCCCCATCTGCTATCTCTTAACTTCCAGCTGAAATCTCAGGAGCCCTCACAAGTCCAGTAATGGTGAGGTTTAATCAATACCTTTGACTAAACTCCAGAGGATCTAGGCTCACTTCACAGGTGTGTGTGTTTTCATACCAAGCTAAGTGAAGTCACTTAGAGTTCTGTGTGACACAGCACTCGAGCGTGGTAATGCTCACTCACTGAGTCAGAGCCCTCAGGGACTCAGAAGGTTCAGGACCATCCCTTTCAAGTGGGCTGCCCTCTCCCCCAGCTTAAGATTCACAGACCCTGATTTCTAATATATAGTGTCTGGGTTTGTTGCTGTTGTTCCCCACCCCCACAGCTCTGCTTTTACAGCTGTGTCCACTTAGCAAATAAAGGTAAATCCTCTGTTGCACATGAAAAAATGTGCATACCTGATTCTATTGCCTCTTAATCACACCTTTACAGAGCTTGAGAGATCCACCTTACGACTCCTGCTCCAGTTAACTTTTAAGCATGTTAGATATGTTTTGTGCTTGGTGCACAGGTTTGTTAGGTTCGTTTTGTGCTTACCCATAATGTCATGTGGGACATTTGCTGAATCTTTCCATGTTGCACATGAAAAAATGTGCATACCTGATTCTATTGCCTCTTAATCACACCTTTACAGAGCTTGAGAGATCCACCTTACGACTCCTGCTCCAGTTAACTTTTAAGCATGTTAGATATGTTTTGTGCTTGGTGCACAGGTTTGTTAGGTTTGTTTTTTGCTTACCCATAATGTGTGGGACATTTGCTGGATCTTTCCATGCTACTAGCCAAATAAATTCTAAAATTACTATCTTTTTAAACAAGAGAAGCAGTTTATATGGGAGAGGTGGGCCCAGAATGATCTAACACTGAGTAGTTTCTCTGGTGCTTATTTCTTTCCTTTCTAACATGAGGGAGAAGTGGGCTGCCCACTTACTCCACTTAACTGTTCTTACACGCCAACAGCTCAAGGTGCCACAAATGCTGTCCCAAAAGAAAGCAGGATGCACAGCTTCCTCTTGCTTTCCAGTACCTCTGGGTTTGCTTTGCTATGAGTAGGCTAATTTAACTCTATTTGAGAAACACAGAAAATTGCATCATTTTAGGTTAAATATATACATAAATAGAAAAAAGAGTCTATATTATGTACTAGAGCGTCAGTTAATGATCCGCAGCCTTCACTAAGGCAAATACAAGAGGACTGATCTCTAGCAGGCAGGTTGCAAAATGATAATTTTGCCATCAGCTAAGAGTATTTCCGGGTATCTGTAATTATTCATCCAGAACAGATATCTAAAGGTGCTTTGCCAAAACAAACCATGTAATAATTGGCTAATAATGGCATCAGTTTTAATGGCACGGAAAGTGAGTTGGCTGTCCAAAGGTCTATTGTATGCTCACTTCTCAAGGGAAACCAGCTGGTTATGTGCTAAATCATGCATCCAACTATCCCCTTTTCCCTTTAAGAGCAAGTGAAATGGGGAGAGGAGAATCTGAGGTGCCATATGATTGCATTTTTGATAAAAATAGAAAAATCGTACCAGACCACTTCATATCCTTTGCATGAGCCAGAGGTTCTTCAGTTACTACTGTTTGACATTCTTTAACAGTCCCCTCCCTACAAAATGGATTGAAAGGCTTTCTTGAGTAAATATCTTGACATAAAGGAAAGCAGTGTATGCACTTGGAGAAAGTTTGTGATGACATTTAGGAGATGTGCTGTAAAATAGCTATTGCTACTGATGCCATAGAACCTAGGATCAATGTAGATATATTAGCAGAGCATCAGTACTTGGAGCTTTGATGAACTGGTACAAACACAACCAGCGTTAAGGCTGGTACCAGCCCCTGTAAAGAAAACCAGCACCAGGATAAATGCTACTGTGGCTAATAAGACAAAGATATTATCAGGGTTCCATTGTCAGGCACTCGTGTTACAATTTATAGCAAAGAGGAGAGGCACAGCAGGTGAGCCAGCACATCATATCCCTGCATGGCAGAGCCACACGCATCACTCCAGGGAGAGACAGACATCATCATACTGTTTCCATGGTGGGAGAACAGTGTAGTGTTCAAATTAGACTTTCCATGAAGATGCTCAAGATTCATAACTGGACTCCTCCAAGCTTTTAAGCACTGAGGGGGCAAATAACAAGAAATCCAGAAGGATTTTCTGTGGTGGGTAGAGGATTTCTCTTTTAAAAAATGAAAACAATGCCCTTCTGTATGCATACAGTTTTATTTGTTGCTGATGGAATTAACTTGCCTGCACAAGAACACAATGGCAATACCTGATACAACAGTCATGTTTACAAAGAGTATAAATACAAAGTAAATAAACACAGTGTAGAACTTGAAAAGTTGCAAAAAAATGAAAAACCTTTCATGTGAGATTTTGTACACATTAATGCTGACTTGGCCTGATTCTTCATGCCTCACCATACAAAACCCTGATAAGACCCTGTCTACCAGGCCAGTGCAGGGACAGAAATTACTATGACACCACAGGACAATGCTGGCACACATACAAGAGGAACCAGTTGTCCACCAATAAATCTTAAGAAGAAAGTTGCTACCTGGAGAAGTGAAGTTCTGGAACTGCCTTCCAAAAGAAACCACTGCTGCAAAAATTATTTTTAAGATTTTGAAGAGTGCTTGATCCATCACAATGACCTTGGATAACAAGAAGGTTCTTATTTCATCTGTATCGCAAGATGGCAATTCTGCAACAAGTTCAGGGTGAAGAGTATTGCACACGTGTGCATCATAAATCTCTACAGCAAGCACAGTGCAAAGGAGAAGTGAACCAGTGCACACAGCCTAGAAATAAGCACAGTTTTGTTTAAAGTTCGTTGTCATAGTGCTTTTTGAAGATCATCACTGAAACAGGATGATATGCTGGAGTCTAATGTTGACGTTTGGTTTAATCAAGTATATTCTTTATAACATCATAGTATTGAAAAATATACTATTCACTATGCAATATTTAAGAATACAAGAAACAATATGCTAGATAACTTCACAAAATCACCTTATGTTAATACTGACAAGGGCTTTGCTTATTAAACAAAAAGACCTCCATCTGTAATGCTCCTAGTATGTGTATTAACAAATCAGTAATAAGATATTTATTCAAACACTGACATCACAATGAATACAAAATACAAATAACGTATGACTGCTGGCAAAAAAAAAAATACTGAATTGTTGAACAGATGATCTCACACTCTTGAGTATTTTGCATTTTAGATCTCATAGTTTCTGAATTTCCTGAGAAGCTCTGATGGAGCATCTCCTGACCAGCGGAAATGCAAGTGCCCGTAATTTGCCTCTGAAAATCCTGAGGAAAAAAAAAAGGCAAGTACATTATTAAAAACATTTATGAAAACTAAGTTGTCTAGAGTAATACTTGATAATGTCGCCCCCACCCCAAGTAAGTAAAAAAATTGGTCACTTCCAGTGCCCTTGACTAGCAGGGACAATCTCTGTATTCTTGGTGCTGTTTGAAGAAAGAGCTCAAGCAAACACCAAGCTTCAAGATATGTTATCAGCTGGGAAGGGTCCAAAGGATAACAACAAGAATGATGGCAGTCCAGAAAAGAGGACTTACAAAGAAAAATTTGCTTGATCTAAAGATGACAGCATAGAGGGCGACATGATAAATATCCAAGTATGTGAAAGGCAGCAGTGTAGAGGGAAGGTACAGCTGGGCCTTTCCACACAGAAAGGAGTAAAGGAGTTTTTCAGGCTCTGTGCTATGTTTTTATCATCTGTGGGCTGTTACTACCAAACTGTGATCCTCCTCTGTCAGGAAGGTGAAACCTATTACCAGACTTAGAGTTAAAATCTCTTACTCAGGCTGAAATAGCTACATGGACATCTAGTACACAATTACAGACCAGCAGACAGGAACTGAAAATACCCCAGTTTAAGAGTGGAATCCAATATAACAAATTTTCCTGGATCAAAACAAAAGCACTATCAACACCCTAGCATCAAGTATGAACACTGAAGTACATACAGGCCCTGTCAAATAAGTATATTCTAATATCAGCATTTATTAATATAAATATATGCCCACTGGATAAGTTAAGTAGACATTTAATGTACTTGCTAATTTTCCCATTCAAATATATGGAAATGTAATTAAACTTTAAAAACATGAGAAAGCACATGCTTGCAAAGAAAGCTCACCATTACAAGGAACAAGATGTTTACTTTAACAATATACTGTTCTATTAAGGATACAGCAACAATTTAATTACACAAAAAAAATGAAAATAGTTAAGTGTAGAGCATAATCTTTAAATATAAAATTTTCAGTTATACCTCACATACATTTGTAGAATTTTCTTTTTGTTTTCTGCATTTCACAAATATTTGGGATTAAATTAGGTTTTGCTACCCTCACAGTTCAACTTAATTTCCTGTTTGATCAAGCTGGGAAGAAACGACAGAACTTCATTTAATAACAGTTCTCTGATAACATAAACCCAAGATTATGAAACTCCTGAAGGATCAAGCAGAACAGAGGGTGGCTGCTGAGGTAAGTAAACTTTGATTCAAGCATACTAACCTAAACAACAGACAGGAAATACTAACCAGCCAGGTGACAGCTTGAAATATACATTTATTCTGGTACATGCACTATTTAAAAAAAAACCTGTTCAATACAAAAGCAGCCTTCAAGTCTCAATTTTTACTCCTCATTAGCTCACCAGGTGCAAACTATGCAGAAGTGCAGAATGCTGGATTAAAAAAAAAAATGTATATATATAATGCATAAAACTTTTATTTAACCTTTTTGAAGTTCTTTTTAAAAAATCATGGAAAATAATTGCATAGGGTTGTTTTTCGTTTTGACACAACAGAGAAATTGAACTTTCCATTTTGGTTTAAGAATACTTTTTTTTTACTTCTCCAGTTGTCAGTTTTATGAGCCAACAAACAAGCAAACATGGGGTAGGGAGGAAGAAAGGTCCTAAAGCTTCAAAATTAAATAAAACCAAAACTACAAAACCCAAAACAAAACTCCAACCCAAAACCACACTGAAAAAGCTATCATAAACATATTATTCTGAGGAAGAATTTCTCACAACTAAAAGCCTCCATTTCAGGCCAATCCCTAGGTACTGCAATTTTCTGTAACTGCTGGTTTCACTTACTTGGGGAGTCTGGATTCTTTGGAGACTGTGGTTTCACATCAGGAATTGCAACATCGTCTTGCTCCCCATTCCTGTCTGACAATCCATCTTCATTGTTTCCAGCCTGTTGGGTCCACACCTTATTGGTGATGTTGTTGCTATTATTCAAGTCAGGAGCTTCCAGCATTTGTTCCTTCTTACTTTGGACAGCCCAGTGCATTGACTAAAGAAGTGCAAAAATAAAGAACTAATTCCTACGCTTTAAAATATTAATGATCAACGTTTCTTCTTTCTTACAATAACTTGTATAAGCATATAATAAGCTTGCAGGTCAACAGGGTAGGGAAAAGCACAGTTACATGCTGCAAATAGCATTTGAAAGGATACTTAATGTCAGCTGAGGATGAAGAACAAAACATGCAAGTGCACAGAATAATTCTAAGGGTTTTTGGTCCAGTTTCTTCTATCATCCTCAGACACTTTTTTTAAGAGGGCTTGAATGACTTGGAAAATGCCCATTTTTGAAGCTCTCTTTGACTTCAAGGTGCCCTTTGAAAGCAAGACCATTTGAAAAGATTTACTGTTGAAGTCTGTGAAATTACTTCTGTTTGAAGTAAACTGAACTAAGCTTGATGGAATGCGTTTCTTCCAGCAGACATTTAAGCTCAGGCATAATGCTAAAGCATTGAGGAGGTTTTCAGTCTTCCCTCCTAAGCAGAATTGAGGTGGGCAGAATTTTCAAGGGAAACATTTATTCACCTGCCTTAAAATATGACCATTTAGACTTGTTACTATCATTTACCCTGATGAGACAGGGAAAAAAAAAACAAAAACAAACATTATGGAATTTAAATCTAGCAGGAATACACTACCAAATTATCTCACTAACAAAATTATAAGTGAAAACAACCCTGAGAAGATCTGTCTCTGTCACAAATCACCCCTCTAGACTAGCAGGGCCCGTTCAAAGACCAGTGTGCAGCCCAGCTTTCCAAGGTACCTACCTTCTACATTTTTCAATGAACTCTTTATGTAACCAGATAGGATGAAAACCCATCTGATAAGCAATATACCAAAAGGACAATATATTATACAGAGGTCTTAGCTTTGGAAAAAAAAAAAAAAGGTTGCTAAAAATTCCTGCATTTCCTGAACTTCTTCAGTGCAGGAATCACTTTGCACTGTTCCCATCACCAAAACCCTCCACTGCAGCCAAAGTGTTGTAACTCATCCCCTCGCTCACTGTGATGTTTTGCCTGGACCAGCCCTGCCCCCTCCTCCTCCTCCTGGAGGCCCAAACTTAGAGAACACCAACCGTTTTCACTGAACTGCTCAGGGCCTCCCACTGCTGGAAGGGAATGGTAATTTTGCTTCGTCGCCAGTAATCGTAACGCGCCCGACTCTCTTCATTAGTGAGAATCTCCTTAGCCTGCTGCAGCTTCTGGAAATTCTCCACTGAAACATAAACCAAAAAGCAATAAAACAGATATTTGCCTTCGGATGTGAAAGGGGAGCTGCCCACAATGGCTTGGAGCAAACAGAGTAGAGGAGACAGCAGGAGAACAAAGTATCAAAGTGGTTGTTCTGCTAACAGCTTTGCACAGTATTGGCTGGCTTCAGGATCATAGCACCTTTGCTGGACAACTGATACACTTTCCAAATGGGAACTAAAATGCTTCTTTGTCTACCGGCTTCAAAATTTCCTAAATTTAAGTCTGAGAAATTTAGCAGGCAAAAGGCAAAACTCGCCCCCTGCAGACCACCTTAAGAAGCGAAATTCAACTACAGGAATAATGCCTGGAAGGAACACATTGACATTTGCAGTAGCAAGGAAGTCAGAGCAAAGTACAACACTAAGAAAACATGAGTGGGGGGGAAAAAAGGCAAAAAAATGACAAGCAGTAAGAGCAATCTAAATGTAGTTCAAATTAAGTAACTTGTGCATTTTATTAGGCATGTTTTCTACATATGCTAAAATGTTGTCTTGAATCTGCACAGACGAGAGCTCTTATTTTTCCCCACAGGGTAATTTTTCATTAAATGGTTACTAAGGATGCAGCTGCATGTTACTATTTGTAGAAGGGTTATAAAGATTTAGATTTTATCTATGAGTCACTTACGTTACAGTGATGTATTATGATAATTATTCATTTATTCCAGTTTACAAATTAGATTTCTTTTGACGTGCACTAAGCCCAAACACTAATCAAAATTGGTGACTATAAATCAAACAACAGACAGCAGGTTAAGAGGGCATTTCTACGAGGTTTCCTTCTTCTGCTGTTACTGGTTTTCAACAAATAAAAGGTCTACTATAATTCTCTTTATTGAGCTTTAAGCTGATGAAATAAAAACAGAACAAAAAACTTTCACCACTACAGTAAAAAGTTATTTAACATAAATACAGCATGTTCAGGGAAATGGAGAATAAAATTTTTTTTCTTGACAAACAAATGCTATAATTCTATGAAAGGTGCTCCAACCTTTGGCACTTGGACTCCCTTTTTGACTTAGTTTAAATCAACCGGGGGACAGGACAGCGGGATGGTACAGATAGAACAGGACCATGCACTGGAACAGTCTCTTGTTTCTCTGCCGCAACTGCCAGAATTTTCTGCAAAGTTGATTCCATTTGTACTTGTGCTATCATTTAGAGCACATTAAATACTAGTGACCAGGCTACTGTAAATAGGTGGTAGACTGTCTCTCAAACACCCAGTCTCAGGGGGTTCCCTGTCAGAGAATCTTAAGGTAGAAAACTCTCACCTATTTCACCTTTTAAAAGAGATTTTTGATGGGAACCAGAAACTATCAGAACAATCTTTTGTATAAGAATAAAAACTATTCAGATTAGAGCTACTTCGTGGTTACAAGTGGGTGAGATGGTCTCCAAAGAACTCAGGTGCCACTTAGCCATCACAGGTATGATGAACCGCACGCTTTCATAAGCGTTAGCTGCTGTTCTGCAAACAGATGGCGACTCATGTGGTGCTGGCTTCTCTTTATTTCCAGTCATTAAATTATATCAAAAGAAACTAAAGCACATTTAATGTGGTCCTGATGGGTTTGTTCACAGAAGCCAATTAACTAGTTGATGCAAGGATGGCACTTGAATGCCACGGAGCACGGAAGCAGGCCAACTTTATAGGTCTAGAAAGGGACACACTCCATAAATAATGTCTGGATTAAAAGCTGTTCTACCATAGAAAGGAAAAAAGATTTGAAAGTCCTAGGGGGAAAAAAAAAAATCCCAAAAGTTTCTTCCTGCTCTATCAGCTAGGAGTGTGCAAGTGTTAGAAAAGAATATTAAAAGCTAGCTATTTAAAGAAATATGCTCAATACACATGACCAAATATATTGGGGGAAAAGAATATTTAATAAAGTTTTAAGGCTGAATTTTATATCTTAGTTATGTTAATAAAAGAAAAAAAAAATATTGTTTTTAAGCAGGGAAGAATACATACCTGCTTTGGGGTCTCCAGGATGTTTGTCAGGATGACATTCAAGGGCTTTAATCTTAAATTCTGCATGAATTTGTTCAACCTAAACAGAACGATGTCAAGACTCGGTGAGTAAATATACAGAGAAAAGATTTCAAATTTGCTTTTTGAAAGGGGTTTGGAGGAACAATGAAGAATGATGAAAATCTTTTTCCTGTTCAGTTTTACAAGCTTTAGTACAAGCAAAATAGGTAACAACATCCATCTGTCAGTGACACTGCTTATTTAATTTCCTTTTCCATGCAATCATCATTTGTCTTGTTTTTGTGAAGCTCAGTCATCCAACATGGCAAGCTGGCTTTAAGAAAGGCATGTAAAAATCATGTGTGCAAAACCCCTTCCTCACATTTGACCAGGCAGGCAAAATACATCATTTCAGTTGCTCTGCACTTTGCTTAATCAACTCTGACTTTTAACAACGTCTCGCTGCAGGAAGCAAAGACCTTCCATATTGCTGAAGATCAATTTGTGGGATTGAGTGGCTTTGTCCATATTCTCTTCATAGGAAATTTAGCCAGTACCACATGACTTTTCCACCTTGGATACCACAAAGCTTAGGAAACTAGCAGTTCCCATGCTTCATGTCAAGTTTACTTGGAATAGAATACATTTATAATCAGTATTAGAATATTGGCATGTATTAGTTTGTCAGTTAATTACAATTGTTGTAAGTATTACAACCACTGGAAAAACAATGGCATAATAACAATTAACAAAATACATGAAAACACTGGAATGAGGATCAGCTTAGATTTTCAAATTTTCCAATTTTCCAAAGTATCTTGCTTCTTTTTCTAATTCAGAAGCCAAAACTTCTTTCTATCATTCCCAGCTTAAGCTTTCACAACAATTATTCTTTCCCATGCTTGAAAGGCTGTTTATATAAAGTCCTCATCCTTCAAACCCTGCCATCCATATATAATTTAAAGTATTTATTTCAAAATTAAGCCTCGGAACATTTTTTTTCTTTGGAATAAAATTACAGTTCACTCAACTAGCTGGCCAAATTTTGTTGTCATATACTGAGAAAATGTGGTCTACAATGGTATTTTAAGAATTCTACACTTTTGATTCTTCTCAGTAACTTCTTCCAGAGAGGTGATATAAGATGGAATCTTTGCAGTCAGTAAGATACTTAAAAATATACATATATAGTACAGAGAACTTGTTGAAACTGGTTACTGTATAGCTAGCTACCATCTCTAAAACTGTTACATAAAAGAGAACTTTGAAGTTTAAATAAGTACAGTAGGAGAGGGGTATGAGAGAAGTCTTCAGTTTTTAAAGAAAGTAAGAAGGAAAAGTTTATAAGAAGTTTACACAAAAGACATAAAATTTAGATAAAATATTCAGCAAGATGTTTTACCAAGAAATGTATCCAATACCCACTATAATATGAACGACACTGTTCTTGGAAGAAGGATGTACATTAAATCTCCCCTCTTCCTCTCAAGTCTGAAGATGAACTAGGTGTCCATGAGCTCAATTCTACAAGGAACCAAGACTGAACATGGGGGTTTACCTGAATACAGGGAAGAATTTGTAGAAATTTAGGCTATTTGTCCTTAAATTTAACTAGGTCTAATCAAGCCCAGAATGTTCAGCAGCTTAAATGAAAGTACTGCAGCTGGGCATGTGCTGTATAAGCCTAAAGAAGCCTGTGCTGCTACAAACACTTGTCTGCCTATACTAAAAACACCTGTAATCCTTCAATTTTCTGTTGAATGTTAAAAGTAGTGTTCACCATCCTGAGCAAAGGCAACCGTAGTACTCGGGCAACTTGGGAACTCCATTCCCACTCCCACGTCCAAAATAATCTAATAACATCTGCTGCTCCTCTCAACAAATGATACGTGACAGATTATTTTTCAGACCCACTAGAATTTATTCCATCTTTTTAATGTCATTTTTTTTGCCATTTGAAAAATCATTGTCATACGTGTTTGAACTATTTCTAATTGCTAAGCCCTGAAGGTGTTGGTGTGAGGTAGAAAAGGAGCCCTGGCAGCAGCGAGACGAGCTCTGCCCAGAAACTGCAACGCCGCCCTCTGCAGGGTCGCTGCCTCCGCAGCTCTCTCAGGAAAAGCGTTAAACTGCCCCCTGCGACAGACCACGGACTTACTAGGCTGCCCTCGGTGCCAGAAAAGGCTGTTGTTCTCCCAGCGTTTGCCCGCTAGGATAGATGAGAGCATCTGAGTACATTTACTGAGCAAAACACAGCTTTTCTCCATACTTTTTAAATCCGTCCTTCGTTACAGCAATCAAAACTCTTTTTCCAAAATCAAAACACAATTCCAGCTAATATAACAACTAGGTTAAAAAATTGTTAGCATAGCACTAACTCAGACTGTCCAAAAAATGTTATATGGACACCTTTAGGAAGGAGAACATTTGTTTTAGCTACAAATCATTCAACAATTGCTTAGCTAGATCTCATTATAAAGCACATATCTGCTACCAAAACAAATTAGCAAAATTACTACTTGAATGTCATTAAAATATGCATTTAAAAATCATTAATATGATGAATGAAAAATACATATTTTTGTTTTCCTCCCAACCAGTGAATACAGGTTTTTAAAAATTAAAAATGGATGTGTATACAACCTGAGAAATTCAATAACATTATGAATGATCTACAGTTATGAACAGTCATTGTATTAGTATAAATAGGTTTTATCCTCTTTTAAAACTGAAAATATGTTCCAAAATATTATTTGGATGTTGTCAAATTTATGCAGTGGGCTCGTGATTCATAGCCCTGTAACATGTTGAACTAAAGTAATGAATAAACCATTCTTTCAGCTGTATCTAGAATAGAATCCTGTTTTATAAGACATTTGTAACATAAGCTTCCCTCTACGCTCTCAGCATCGGTGTACTGATCAGAAAATTGAGCTTCACAAAGGCAGATACTTAAAGATAAAAGTGGCAAGAAAGAAGGTTCACAATGCATTTCAAACAGACCTGCCTGCAGAGATAAACACCTCCAAATCCCTGCTGCAGATAGACAAGCACATTCAAAATGTTATTAACCTGGGGAAAGCTCTTACCGTAGATAGTTCGTCACATCCCAGCAAGTTGTAATAATCTTCCAACTCATCCTGTCTGCAGTTCAGAATCGCATCCATCTGGACTAGTCCAGCGGGCTCTTCCAAGCCCAGGCACCGAGGGGGTGAAATACAACCTTGCTATGAAGCTCACAAAAGGGTTTGAAAGTAGCCCCGGGGAAACAGGCAAGCTCCACTGGGCTCCAGAGCTCTCTCCGGTGCTTTTTAGTACTGGCAGCTCACACACACACACAGACACGCGTTTTCTGGCGCTCTCTGCCTGCCATTGGTCCCTGCAGGATGCCAATCCGGTTGCACAAACCTGCCAATGGCAATGCTTCCTGGGATTTGTAGTTGCCAAAGTCACGTCAACACTACCCTGTGGGTCTCAGACAGACTGTAGAGTTCTGGACACTAAAATCTATCTGTACTGGAGATTGAGATGACACCATCACGTGTATAGCACTTACACTGGGGCACACACTCCAAGGCTTTCCTGCACCTCTGCATCCACACACTAACACACATTTCCTGCTTCATTTTTAATTGCAGCTCTTGCCACAGTCTTTGACATGGGCACTAGATGGATAATTATAGATAAGAGCAATTGAGAATGAAGTACCGACCTTGCCAAAGTCCCTCAGAGTTCTGTCAGTCACTTCAACAGGAAGGGTGAATCCTGATTTTTCCAAGTCTATCTAGGGTACACACACTGCTCTTCAAAACCAAACAGCTCTTGCACATCATTCGCATGTCTAACAAAATTAAGACTATGAAAAGACAACATGAAATACTTATTGTCTACTATCAAATTAAATAGAGACTTCCTCATGCCAAATTATTTTCAAATTATGTCTGGAGGTTCTCTGCCATGTGCAAAACGTGTTCCTTGTAAAACTCATCTTACAATGAAGTGATGCACCTTTAATTTTGACTACTGATCAAGGTCTCAGTCCAACAAAGACTACAGGCATGCTTAAGTGTAGAGTCTCCTGTGGCCTGCTGATGTAGAAAGATTACTTCCTAGGTGTAACACTATCCACTCACTGCAGTCTTTCCTCTGGAGCCTAAGGAGCTCTACTTTTACACTCCTCATCCTTGCAAGAGCCTTGTAATCCAAGGTGCTTCACATCACTAAATACTGCTGATTCTTTTAAACTAACACAAATAGAGGCTTTGAATAGTTACACCGTTCTAGGTGAAGTGACCTCGTAGGAGCCTACACAGAACAGATCCACACGGTGTGAGCAGGGCTAGAACAGCTGTGTGCTCATCACTGAAAGGCCCAGTGGCCAATCAGAACTGCTTATAGAACACTGAATGGGTAACTCCTGCATTTGCAACTGCTTTGTTGTCTATATTATTAATTTTCTGAAATTATCTACATATAATAGTCTTCCACTGTTCTCCTCAATGCTATATTGTCTGAAATTTCCTATTTGTATTGTATGTTCAGATAGCCTATTAAGATTAGACAGTATATAAAGTAATGAGAAGAAGCAACAATATTAATAGCAAAGCACAAGCCTCAGTGAAACCATTTAAATCTTTTAGAAAACACTGCTACCGTATTTCTGAGTAAATAAAACAATAGATACACTTTTTCAACAGTGAAAGAATTAGCAATTACAAATCTCTATCCCCCATTCATAACTCAATAATGAACCAGAAAAGTCCAGGAGAGAAAAGAAAGCCTTTTAGCAAGAGATCATGTAAATATTTAAATAGATTGTACTTTGGGGGAGGATAAAAAACAAACAGCTGCCCCTGCTCCCAGTGGCACCCCTGACATACTGTTCCTGTCCAAGTACTTCTTGCATATTTGCCCAAGGTGAAAGGGAAAACTCTTTAACCCTTTTCCCCTCCAGCTTCCAGAGGCTATTTCTGTGCTGCAAAGTGAACTGCAGGCCCCAAAGCTGGATTCAGGACAAAACCCTGCAACTTGCAAGCTGCTTGTTCACAGGGAATTTTATCGCTGAAGCTGTGGCCCCATCTGTACGCCCCTCTGACCAGACCAAATAACCAAGGGCTTGGATCTGAACTGCAGCAGTGACCATGCTGGTGCCCCCACCACCATCACCACCAGCCCCCCAAGATGTCCAGCACTTTGGGCACAAAAGGTCCCACAGCACAATGGAAGGTGCGTGCAGAGGACAAAAACCACTGAAACTCATTCGTTCTTTTACTGCTCCTGCTGACTGCAGTGGGACAACTCACAGAGGAACCCATCATCCAAAAAAGAAGAGCAAGAGAACCCCTATATAACACACAGGAAAAAAAAAACACCAAACAAGCAAACAAACAAAGCAAAGAAGCAAAGATTGCCTTCAGTGCATACGCTTTATTTTAGAGAGAATCACAGTGCAGGAGATGGCACTGCTTGTGTGTCTATGTGTTTTGGTTAGTGTTGCTCAGAACGTGCAAACAGTACCAAAAGTGAGGAAATCTTGTCATTTGTTCTCTGTACCCAATCACCAACAGAACATTTTTATTAATTCCTAGCACATTATTGACAACGTTGCTTGTTTAGAGCCAAGGCTGAAACTAAATTCTTGTTCAGTATAACAGGAGGTTTACCATCAATTTGTACAAGTCATAAATGGCCCCTTAAATAAAGAAGCAGGATCTGGAAATTTTCATTTATTCCCACAAAACCCAACTTCCAGTATCAGCTCTTGTCAACTAACTATAGATGGTTTTGCTTCCTGAGGGCAGAGTGCACATTTTCAAGAAGTTCAAGGCACAATATAACTCAGATGAGCTTTGCATTTCGTTGTCCATCCTCGTCCCCCCACACACTCAGAGCTGCAGAAACAGAAGAGGACCCAAGTGCTACCAAACTGAAGTCCCACTTTAGGGCTAACTACTGCAACACCATTGTTAACATGTATAAATCTTTGCAAGATCATTCTCAGCTTCAGGATCCTTGAATCATTCCCTCACCAATATGTTTCCAGGAAGCTGTAGATTGTACACCTGTATCCCTAACATGTTTTCTTCCTTAGAATGCAGTCTTCACATAAATTATTAATTAAAAACCACACTGCTTTACAAAACATGCACATACTTTTTAAGAAATCTGAATTTTGCCTCAGTTTCAATAAGGAAGAAGTATGCAAAGGAAAAATCTGCACAGAATAATAATATTCTGGTTCATATCTGTGTGCTTCATAACTTGTTCTTGATAAATAGCTACTGTAAGAAATGGTGCATATGTATTTTTAGGGGACTTCTGGTACTGAAAGAATCAGGGAAGAAGAATCATTCCCTCACTACAAATACATATACCAGCTATAAAGTCAGTTACCTATAAAATAATCCCTTTGAAGCTAAAAATCGCGTATCAACAACTTCAACCCGGTTTTTAAAAAGTTTTTAAGGCCTGCAAGGGAGAAATTTTACCTGTCTAATCTTGGTCTTGCCACTAAACTTAAGGATTCGGTTGCTTTAAGTTCACGGAAACTATCCCACAGTGTGTGACCTGAAGCGGTACCGTTAGACGAGCCGCAGGGCACCACAGGTACCGGGCACGCTGGTAGGAGAACGAACCCCTGTGGGAGCGCCACGCGAGGGAACCCCGGCTCTCCAGCCTCCCGACAGGGCTCTCCCGCCCCGCGCGGGCTGCGCGCCTGCACTGCGCGCTCGCGGGTG